GTAGTATTTAGTATGTGGGAACTTCTGGCTGAGAAGTAATTTAAAGATCCCTTGAAGGTGCAAATTTAATGCAAGAGCTTTAAAGAGATTATAATATATTTTGTCTATAAAGTATGCATGCTGAACTCAAGGAGAAATTCACAAGATTTTATAGTTGGGAAGATAATTACATAGTGGAATGAAAAGAGAAATCAGGATGAATGAATTCTAGGCTTTGCTTAGGATAAGACGCGGTAAGGATTCTGAGCCTCTGCTTTTTTTGTCTCTAAAATCATGTACTTGAATAAGATTAGATGACCATTTCTCAAATATGAACACTTGTATAATCATGATGCTAGAAGTTATGAGTTACAATCATATTAAAAGCTCATCTATTTAAATATATTGGGATATATAAGACAACAGATTCTCAAAGGTTACTTCAAATTCATTCATCAAAATTTGGAATTTTGATTCTCACGGCAGTATAGAAACAGCAAAGTATATATATACATATACATATATATATATATTCCTTTTTGGGTCACACCCAGCAATGCTCAGGGGTTACTCCTGACATTGCACTCAGAAATTACTCCTGGCAGTGCTCGGGGGACCATATGGGATGAAATGCTGGGAATTAAACCCAGGTCAGCCACGTGCAAGGCAAATGCCCTCCCTCTGTACTATTGCTCCAGCCCCAGAAACAATAAAATATATTTTCACAAATTAAAAAAATATTTCTTTCTCTTTCTCTCTCTCTCTCTCTCTCTCTCTCTCTCTTGCAGCCACAACTAGCAGTGCTCAGGGATCACTCCTGGTGGGGCTCTGGGGACCATATGATTTGCCTAGGATCAAACCTGGGCTGAATTATTTGAAATACAGCAAGATGCAGTATCAACTGGTTGTGAAAGCATAGTATACTATTACAGGGATTCAAGTTCCAAATTTAGCCAAGTGAATTTTGACAGTGACCTTTCAGAGTCTCAGTTGTCTTCCTATGTTCCATACATGTGTGTATGGGGGGCTCCCTGGGTCACATCTGGAGGTGGTGGTGGAGGGCATGTAGGGGTCAAAATCAAGGTACTCCTTCTGCAAGTCATGGGCTCCACCACTTTGATCCAGCTCCACAGACCTCCCTCCGTCTTCTTTTTCCATGTTAGCAACATGTTTCCAATAGCATTTACTCTGTTCTGTTTTGACTATAATGAGAATTCTAGATGTTGCTAGAATATAGTTCTAGAGCTATAAGTTCTCAGGAAAATCACTTACCCTTTCTGCAAATAATGACTGAACCTTTGAAATATTTTCTCTTCCCTTTTTGAGGACAGGAAAAATAATAAAATTTAGTGTCTATCTCATACACAACCATCCCTACTTCCTTTGCCCGGCCCATCACTCGGGGCTTAAGGTTCTTCTAAGCTTGAGAACTATCCTAGTCATTTATGTGGGGAGTGAGTTTGAATTGTGCTACCAGTATTTTGACTTTATAGCCCTAACTTCTACCTTAACATTACATAGATCTGAAGGCTCTGTGTAATAACTAGGGAATGGAATGCAACTGGGAGTCAGACCAATCATTACTACATGATTACTCAATAGTTTGTGCCTTGTACCAATTCAACTGAGTTCATTTGACCAGGGATTCTGATCAGACATGGATTATACGCAAGAATCTACCATTTCATTGAAACAGGTTTTGTTAGTTTGTGCATTATTGATATGGGGGGGATCGTTCTGGTGAGGGGCTGACATATATTGTTTCATTGTAGGGTTTAGCAACATCCCTTTTTACCCATTTTATGCACTTGCTGCTGATAGCAACTTCTGATGGTGATAAAAAAAAATTCCCAAACCTTGTTAAATTTTTTCGTGGCAGGCCGATTCCCCTGTTCTACATAAAATCACTGTGATAAAGCCTTAGACATTGGGGAACTCAGTGGGGAAGCTTATCAGTTCCATCACATCCTTCAAACAGTCTTTGACCTCAAAGAAGTTGGAACTACTTACCTCAAGTCTTTCAAAATAATAATGAAAGAACATAGCTTCAGTTGTCATGGGAAAAGTGCACCATCACAGCTTAATTAACAGGGTGCAATTTGAAATTTTACTATAAAGCCTAGAACTACCCACTTATTTCTTTCAACTACATTGAAAAAGAACCTCATAATTTGTGTCTTGGGAAGAATCTCCTTCACAAAACGTGATTCCCCAGAAGGCAGGGGTCTTACAAGAGGGTCTTCAGTAGAGGGTCCCCCCCCACCTTACCCAATAATCTAAGGAGAATTTAGCAAAAATGGCAAGCAACACACACACACATACACACACAAACACACATACACAATCCCAAAGGACCTCGAGTCCAGAGGGGCGAATCAAAATCAGTTGTTTCTTAGAAAAGAAATTCAATGGTGATATTGATTGCAAGATTGATAGGAAGAGACGGAGAAAGAAGAGACGGAGGGATGGGAGAAGAGCCGAGAAGGGGGCACGGGGTCAGTGGGCAAGCGGGAGAAGTTCCCCAGGAGGTTGGCAGCTCTGGGAGGATGGGGATCTCTGGACGTCCCCGCTGTCGTCTCCCGGGCTGGGGTGGGCGGGGTGGCGGTGGGGGGCAGGGGAACAGACTCTCCGATCTCGTGCTCCTTCCTATGTCCACATGGCTTTGCTCACCCCGCTGCCAAGTCGCTGCATTCCAGAGCCTCCTCAAAGGTCAAAAGACTCTAGCCACTCCGTCCCCCTAAAGGCTGCAGAAAACCGGAGCTTAAAAGCAAAGAGAGAATAAGTCTCGTCTCCCGTGGTCCCCCACCCGGAGAATCGCCAGGCGATTAGAAACTTTCCCTCGACTCCAGCTCTCCTCCGCCACCCCCTCTCCGGGTGGAAGGAGTGTGGGCGAGGATGGGCCGGCCCGCCCAGCCCTGCCCACTGCCCCCCTAGCGCCAGGCTGGGGGTCCCCCTGGAGCGCGCGGGGCCGAGGGGCGCGCCCCCTGCAGGCGCGGGGCTCGGGGCCGCTCCCCCGCGGCAGCGGCGGCGGCGGCGGCGGGCGCGAGGGGAGGGGACAGACGAGGAGGGCGGCGCGGATGGGAGGGAAGGAGGGAGGGAGGGTGGAGCGGTGCGTGCCTCGCCTGCCCGAGGCGGCTCCGAGCCCTGCGAGTCAGCCCCGGCGCCCCGCGCGCACCCGCTGCACTCCGGAGACCCGCGGGGGAACTGCGGGCGCCACCGGTGGCGGCGCTGCTCGGCTTTTTTTTTTTTTTCCTGGGGGCTCCCCCGCCCACGCCCCGACGCCGTTTCCTCCCTGGAGTCCTTCGGGGCAGCGGCCGAGGAGGAAGCCCGGGCTGGGAGAGCCTTGGATGTCCTGCCCGGGCAAAGACAGCCAAGTCGTGCGTGCGCCCGGGACCCGGGAGAGGAGCAGCGGATCGCCGCCCGCCCGCCGCGTAAGTGGAGCGTGGGGCTCGGAGGGTGCCCCGAGATCACCCCTTCCTCGGACGCTGGAGTTGGGGCTGCTCCCCGGGGCTGGGCTGGCCGCTTCGGCTCCGCTCTCGGCCGCTGCCTCCGGGGGGGGGGGCTGCTGGTTCTTCCCAGCCCGAGCCCCCGGCCGCGCGCAGACCCCGCTTGGAAATGCCTCTCTCCTTTGGGGGTGGAGGGGTCGTGGTGTGTCGGCTGGAGGGTTGCCTCGGATCTGGTCTGGCGGGGGACGCCTGTCCGCTCTGCTGGAGACGAGGGTCCCTAAACTCTCCACCACTCCCCGCCAGCCTTTCCCCAGACGCTCTGTCCAGACACACCAACTTCAGCCGCTGACGCTGACCGCAACCCGCAGATTTAAAAGAGGACACAAAGTAGCCCTGGCTCCTCTGATTAGACAGATTGGGACCGGAGATGGGATGCTGGCTGGCGGGGAAACGGGTGCGAGTCAGGGTTGGGTGGCGATGAAGTGTGGGAAAAAGGCTATTTGCAGAGAATCCTGGAAACTGGAGTGGAGAGTCGTGGAGGGGGAATTGAGCCGTGCAGAGACTCGGTGCTTTCGGAATCCAGGGCTTGAGGGGAAAGTGTGGGAAAACGGTCCCGAAATTCTTTTGAAAGGGCGGGGGCATGGCGGGGGGAGAAAGTCATTGCTTTGGAATGACTGGAGCTCCTCAGAGTACTGTAAAGTATGGATGACTTTAAGTATAGATGACTTTTCAAGTTAGCCGCTGACAATCATTCAGCAGGAAAGACGGTTACAACGGTTCTTTTGGACGCAGTGAATCAAAATTGCTGATATGAAAATAATCCACGCCTGGGCTCTCATGTTCATCAATGCTCAGAGGGCTGAAGGGATTCACAAATGCTACCCAGTAGCTGATGGTTTCTCAGATCTAGTGTCTAGGCTGTTTGTTGATTGGTGGTGTTCTGCAGTTATACAAATTGTCCTAATTATTTTGTCCGAGCTCATTCCGAGTTAATGCGCCTAAAAGGACACAGACAAGTTGGTAGGAACACTGAGCATGAACTTGCATGCCAAATAAACAAGACACGGAATGGCTCGTTTTATTATAATATTTGGAACCATGTTTGCAGCCAGTAAAAATGCTACATTACTTTTTATGTGAAGATAGACCGTGAACTCACTGGCTAGGCAAATAGGAGTCCTGCGTTTCTTTAAGTAAATAGCTGTCAGAGTTAATTCGGAAGCATTGAGAGGAGATAGACATGAGAAAGCTTTGTGTTAGTTTGCATTGAGATGTTCATGGAGATAATTAGTCCACCCCCCTCCCCCCCTTTAGAAGTGTTGAGACAAGTATGAATTTTTTATTCATGGAAAGTTGTAGACAGTCTAAACGGGTGCTCTCAGTTCTCTAAAGAGACACGTAACTTTTTCTATTTCCTTGTTTTACCAGGGACCACCATCCAGACTGCAGAGGATGGGACGCGAATGCCCAATGAGAACTGTAGATCCATTCTGTCAGTAAACATCCCCTCCTGCATTTCAGAACTTCGGGACTGAGCAGGGTGCTGGTGGTCATATACCTTCTTCACTGCTGTGGCCCCCAGTAGCCCTCTGGGGTCCTCGTTGACACAGTCTGTGAACGATGGCATCCAGTCTGACTTGCACCGGAGTGATCTGGGCTCTGCTCTCCTTTCTCTGTGCTGCCACCTCCTGCGTGGGCTTCTTTATGCCTTACTGGCTCTGGGGCTCCCAGCTGGGCAAGCCTGTGTCCTTCGGCACTTTCCGGAGGTGCTCCTATCCCGTGCACGATGAGAGCCGGCAGATGATGGTGATGGTGGAGGAGTGTGGGCGTTATGCCTCTTTCCAGGGCATCCCCAGCACAGAATGGAGAATCTGTACCATCGTGACAGGCTTGGGCTGTGGCCTTCTCCTCCTGGTGGCGCTCACTGCCCTCATGGGATGCTGTGTCTCTGAGCTCATCTCCAGGACAGTGGGAAGAGTGGCCGGAGGAATCCAGTTTGTGGGGGGTAAGTGACTCGCTTGAGCTGTTTTCCAGAATCTTAAAGCAGTTTTGAAGGTTGTATTCCAGGCCTCTACTGAGATGATCGCAGCCGGTACTTAGCATACTTGTGAGAAATAGACCCAGACTGGCTTTGATGATAGATTGCCCAAATTACAGATTTTTATTGGAGTTGCTTTACAGCCTCAAGAGCTCTTAATTCCCGCACATCCTTAGACCCATGCATTATTAGCCTGCTAAGTACCACCTATGTGAAATACTAACATCCAGGTTGTTTATAATGCAGTAGGAGAGATAGTTTGGATTTTATAGCTTCCTGCTTTTTATGTTCAACAATAAGCAATTAAGTATCGATGTCTTATAGGAATCATTACATTTTTCAGAGGAAAAGTGGAAAAAAATTTCAATTTCACATTGTTGTCACAAGCCTTCAGTACTTTTTTGGTGGGTGTGAAATTGACCCTTGCCCAATCTTAAACTATATTTGTAAATAAGTCATTGCTGTTTTAAATGAGAGATCATTTTTCATTAACAACTACGAATTTCAGCATGCTACAAATATTAACTATAGGTTTAATTACCACGTTAGGATTTTACTTTCCGGTATGTAGTTATAGTAAAGAAGAAAAAACAGAATTTTTGCAAAAGCTGTATTCTTATCTCAAACGGACTGGATAGTTTCACTAACACCAAAAAAAGGTCTGATTTTTACTTGGGTTTTCTCCAGCAAGTATTGCTTCAATATCTCTGGTCATATGGTTTTAATTATACTTTATATATATTTTTGCTGAGCTTTTCACCTCTGTTATTCAACCTGATGGACTGAACTTGGCTGATTTATAATTCACCCTGGTGAAATATGACATTGGCTGTAGATACTACAGAATGGAACAAAATAGGGAGCTGGAAACACATACAAAGTGTATTTTCAACTTCATTACAAAGTTCAAGTCTGTTACTTTTGTGTTTGGTGTTTTCTTACATTCCTTCTTTCTCTGTGAAAAACCTGGAAGGAGCATTAAAATGGGTAGATAGTTCTAAGACAGACTCTTCATATTGGAGAACACCCCTGCAACAAACGAGTTCAAAATATTTTTGATAAAATAAAAAATTTGGGACCAGAAATTTAGTACAGGGGTTATGATGCTTGCCTGGCTATCTGACCCCACTTTAATCATCAGCTCTACATATGGATGGTTCCCTGAGCACCACTGGGAATGATCCTTGAGCACAGAACTGAGCACTGGTAAGCGTGGATCCGCCAAAATCTAAGTAAAAATAAAACGAAGAAAAATAAAAATTTCATGTAACATTTTAAACAAGACAATTCTTGTCTAAAAATGCAAGTGGCGGAGCCAGAGTGATCGTGTGCAGGGTGAGGTGGTGCCTTGCACGTTATGAACCAAGCTTGATCCTGGATACTGCCTGTGGTCCCACAGCATCACCAGGAGGGAGTACAGAGCCAGGAGTAGCCCCAGGGCTCTCTGGGTGTGGCCTCCAGCTCTATGCCTCTCACATTGCAAGTGACAGAAAGTTTTCTATTTTGGAACAAAAAGGAGAGTTGTTTGTTGTTCTTTATTTCCTTACTGATGTAAGTCTACTCTTAGGGTTTTGTCCTTTATTTTTGCTTCTTGCTTTGCCCTAGAAAGCAATTTGGAGGACTTCACTCTCTTTACCTTATTGCTCTGGTGTTCAACTTTAGCAAAAGCTTGCTTGTGATGGGTATATTGATTGAAAAAATATAGCAAAATGACAAGGAAACAAAAAGAGTGGTACTGGAAGTAGAATATAAATTGTAGCACTGTAGCACTGTCCTCCCATTGTTCATCGATTTGCTCGAGTGGGCCCAGTAACGTCTCCATTGTGAGACTTGTTGTTACTGTTTTTGGCATATCGAATACCTCACGGGGAGCTTGCCAGGCTTTGCGGTGCGGGTGAGATACTCTCAGTAGCTTGCCTGGCTCTCCGAGAGGGGCGGAGGAATCCAACTTGGGTTGGCCGTGTACAAGGCAAACACCCTACCTGCTGTGTTATAGCTCCATCCCCCTAGAATATAAATTGATTTTGAAAACTCATTGATACCACAGATTTTAAGACTAGAATTAATGCCAGAAGTATTCACTTTTTTGTCTTTAAGAAGAAACTTGTGGGGCCGGAGCAATAGAACAGGGTAGGGTGTTTGCCTTGCATAGAACTAATCTGCATTTGATCCTGATCATCCCATATGGTCCCCTGAGTGTTGCCAGGACCGCTAGGGGTAATTCCTGAGTGCAGAGCTAGGAGTGATCCCTGTGCATCACAGGGTGTGACCCAAAAAGAAAAAAAAAAGAATAAGCTGGGTTTGCTGTTTGTGTTTTACTTGGCTCAGAAAAAATGCTTAGGCAGTTTCTGTTTCTCCCCTTATGGTAAAATTTACTTTTAATTCTTCTTTTCCCTTGTGCCCTCCCCCTCCCCTCTCCTCCCCTCCCCCACTGCACCAGGTTACAGCACAGGTGGCTGTTATTTCTGGCAGAATGGGAAAATGCTTACAAAGAGAAATCAGTTTTTATTGATTATCTTTAAAATGTATAATGAAGAAAGGCAACAGGAAGTGAATCTGAGACCCTTGAGATTTGTGATCTCCTTTTAAAACTATACATAGATTTTTTTTCGAATTATATAGAGCTAAATGTTCTACTTTACAGAAAATTCAAGAGGAAAGACCACTAAGGATGTATATATATATATATATATATATATATATACATGTATATACATATCTTGAAGAGGTCTGTCTTTTTCATTTGCATGTGCATTTTATGAACTCTGGCTCAGTAAGAGTTATGACATTAAGCTCAGGATATAATTTATTACTAGCTGTGTTCTCCTCCTTCCTCATATGATGTCATATCTTACAAAAAGAATTCTGAATGGAAAACCTAGGAGGCTTTTCCTACTTGAACCTCTGGAGGGTACAAGTAAGTAAAAACACCCCAGCGATCAAGATAATAGTAAATTTTATCATTAGGAATGAATAATAGGAAAGGTCTTGAAAAATTGCCAGTAATCAGTCATGTAATGATTAGATCAAAATATTACCCCCGACCCCCCCAGTACTTTGAAGAGAGTACCTCACGTTGTTTATTTCATAACCGTTGGGGTTTTTTAGTTATCAAAATTTACGTGGGAACTAATGTCATTTTACAATTTCTTTCGTGAAATGGGTGAGTTTTATCAGGTCTAAAACCCCAGCCCCGACCCCGTCATCAGTGAGTTCTCTGAGTCGTACAGAGAATGTCGATAAATATAGTGCAAGCATAGGGTGCTAGACTCCAGGGCGGATTTTCTTGCCAGAATGATTCATCCTGAAAGGTTATGTTTAGCTAACATTAGGGTTGCTCTGAAAACAACGGGAAGCTGGAGACGGGGAAGTATGGAGGCTCCCCGCCTGCCCTGCCTGCTGTGTCTGGGGTTGACACATATGGTGTAACATCAGGCAGCAGATCCCCTGCAGGACTTTGGAACTAGTTAAAGGACAGAGCGTCAACCTGAGTTTTGAATTGTCTTGCCGTGGTTGGGTAGAGGTTCAGATGTCACCTGTCAACTGATGGAACAGTGCAAAGTTGGCATTGTACACCCACCTTTGCTCACTCCGCTAATGAGCATTTGCTACTTCAAGGAATCGGTGACTTCTGTGTTTTTTTATTTGGTAAGTCTTTTTTTTTTTAAATTTTTTAAATTTTTATTTGTGAAACACTATGAGGTACAGTTGTAGACTTACAAGTTTTTGTGCTTGGGTTTCAATTATACAATGATCAAATACCCATCCCTCCACCAGTGCTCATTTTCCACCACCACGGGTCCCAGTATCCCTCCCACCCCCCATCCCCCTCATCAGGTATTTTTCTTATATTCTATCTTTTTTCTTTTTATGGATATTCCTTTTTATTTATTTATTTTTGTTTGTTTCTTTTTTTTTTACAGTTGTAGATTTACAATTTTTTGTGCTTGGGTTTCGATTATACAATGATCAGATACCCATCCCTCCACCAGTGCCCATTTTCCACCACCATGGATAATATCCCCCCACCCCCATCCTCCCATTATTTGGTAACTCTTAACACCAATTTTATTTGTCACCTCTTCATATAATGTTCGTCATAAGTTTTAAAACCAATGTATGGCTGACTTTTACCCTCAATTCCATTTCTGAGAAGTTATGTAGAAAGCCTCTAAGAGACATAATATATAATAAAATATTAGTATGCTTACAGTATGGAGTTGCTCTGAGTCAGAGTATTATGTACTTCTGAATCTTATTATGGTTCATAAGGAATTACTCATATTTAATTTTTTTTATTGAATCACAGTGATATACACAGTTACAAAGTTGTTCATGGTTGGGTTTCAGTCATATAATGTTCCAACAACTGTACCTTCCTTCACCAGTGTGTATGTCCCACCACCAATATCCCCAGTTTCCTTTCACTCTCCAAAAGGACAGAGCATCAGCCTGAGTTTTGAATTGTCTTGCTGTGGTTGGGTAGAGGTTCAGATGTTGCCTGTCAACTGATGGAGCAGTGCAAAGTGGCATTGTACAGGCACCTTTGCTCACTCTATAGCAGGCACTTTTCTTCTTTCTCTCTCTCCCTGTCTCTCTGAGTCTCTGAGTCTCTGTCTCTCTGAGTCTCTGTTTCTCTGTGTCTCTGTCTCTCTCTCTCTCTCTCTCTCTCTCTCTCTCTTTGTCCCTCTCTTTCTGTCCTTTTCCCATTGGACATCATGGTTTGCAATATAGATACTGATGGTTATCCTTTGTATATCCTTTATCTACTTTCAACATTCCGTTCTTGTCCAGGGTGATCATTCCTGACTATTATTGTCATACTGATCCCTTCTCTATCCTAACTGCCCTTCGTCCCCCACACACTTGTAGCGGACTTCCAGCCATTGACTTTCGAAAAATGAATGAATATCAAACTGGGATGTGTATGTTAGTAAACTATCTTATTTGTGTATTTTGCAAAGGAA